AGGTTGCAGCGCAATCTGAAGCTGTGAAGAGGCAGTAAGACACTGTTTAAATGTAGACTGATTGGCAGCTCTGGTGTGTAAATGTGCCTGCTGAGTTGATTGCTATTAGAGGAACAGGTGTGTAGTAATGGGCGCTGGAGTGAGGGCGGCTGGGATGGTGCCGCAGGAGAACAGAGGTCACCAGTTTCCCGTCTGAACTTTTACATTAGCTTCGCAAAAACAAAGTTGTTCTTATAGAATTGTACACTATAATTCACATTTGCATAAAAGTGATCCAAGTATTCAGAACAGCACTCCCTTTGGACTATGTAACAGAATATTTTACAAACACACTTTAATCAAGGTATTCCATACTTTGTAACTACAGACATTTGTAGTATTCCCTTCAACACGTCCTATACCTGCACGTATGTCCTATTAAGTTGAGCCCACGGGTCCTGCTGCAATAGCTCAAATCTCTTGTGTGTGTGTGTCTTAAAATATTTGCTGCCTAAGACTTCTTCCTTGTTCTCCTGCCCCCCTCTAGTGTTGCTGATATATGGAACATATGGGAAATTATTGGGGGTTATAAAGGGCTGTTGACTTCAGCAGACATGTAGTAAATTAAAGTGTGCAGGGGAGGAAAAACACACACTCTTTAGGATCACTTAGTGCACATTTCCTGAACAGACCCGACTCCACTTTTCCTCCTCACTCCACCTCGCCACCCTTTCTCTTGTTCCCTCCTTCCTTTTTCTGTTATAACACAATCTTGTACTGTTCTCCTAGTTGGTGGCAACACAGTGGGGTATATCCACACAAATTAGACACATAAAACTCATAAACCCTGGAAAATATTTTAATAGTTTCCGCACCTTTTTGTGGAAACAAGCTGCATGTGCAGGGCTTGGTGAGCACTACCAATGTTATTGGTGCAATTAAATGTGAAACACAAAGGGGGAACATGCTGGAATGGGAGCCCAAAACGGCTGTAAACATGGAAAATGACACTTGACATGTTGTAATTTATGAGCGCAGTTTCAAAGACAGAGTTACTCATTCGGCAGAGAAGGAAGAATGAGGCACAAAGATCCAGACATTAGACGAACTATTCGCAGAATGTTTGTGCATCAAAGACACACAGAGACAAAAAAAGAGGAAGAAAAAGTTATGACTTCAAAGTGGAAGAATGATGAGCAATGCACAGATAGAGAAACCAACGGAGATTTGGTGTGTGCGTGTGTTCAGGTGGAGAGAGAGATAGTTCCACAGACACAGAAGGCAGGGACGCCCCTGGATATAAACATTCAGTTGTCCTTGGAGGTCGGATTTTTGGAGTTCTGACTTGTATTCTGACTGATGCAGAGTTCTAGCTGAGATTTCTTTATCAAAAAGGAGATTGTTTCAAAATCTCAATTAGAACATTTAACTTGACTATGCCCAGTGTTTGGTCAAATGTAAAATACAACCATTTATAAACCATTTACCATCATATAAATGTAGTTGTTTGAAATTATCTGTATACTGGCACTAATTTTCCATCGTGTTGCCGTGGTGATGACAGTAAATTTCACTTTATCCTTTGAGTATCTCTGCTTCAACCACTTAATTCGTTCCACAACATTAGCAATTATTAAACTGTGTATAATGAGCAGAACCGCAAAAAGTTTATTTCATAGCAATATTTAAAAGGGATAATCTTGACATTGATACAAGGCAAGGCAAGTTTATTTGTATAGCACAGTTCATACACAAGGCAACTCAAAGTGTTTAACAAAACAAGATAGAAACAATCAGATAAGGTGTTACAATCATAAATAATCACAGTACAAACAAAATACTAAAGATTTAATTTCTATAAACAGCCAAAGAGAACTGTTTATAACCTGGATTTGAGCATTGTCAGAGAACATGCCTCTCTCACATACTCAGGTTGCAGCCAGCAACATCCTAAGATCTAACAGGATCAAGATTGAGACTTTGTTTGAGTCAGTGTTCAGTTGTATGGTGTTTGTTACCTTGAGTGCATGCTGTCATAGGGTCTAAAGCCAGACTGAACCATATCAAAGGAGTTGTTAGTTATAAGATATTTGGGAAAATGTACAATGAACTCACAGTTGATATACATTACAACATATGGTTTTACTTCATGAGAGCTTTGATTTAATTGGTTCATTAATTTGTTTATTTGGATGGGACGATGTGTATTAATGAACACCAGGAGCTGTAAATACACCAGGTTGTAGCTTTGTCCATCTAGGAACCTGGTGGAATCGAACCCAGGACCTTTTTTTGCCACCATTATTATGACGTATTAGCTCCTAATAATTCGATGCTGCTTGTGGCTTTGATTATAATTGCTCACATGTTTGGTTTTGACCATTTATGTAAATACCACATCAAGGTGAGTTATATGATTTTTAGTAAGAAAGGGATTAGAACCCATTAAAATGAGAGCAAACTGAACCACTAAACTTGCACACACTTTGTTTCTTTGAACGTGCAGTTTAGCATTGGGATTGATAAAAGAGGCCCTCATCTTCAGCGAGCCTCATCAAGAAAATGTGTGTAATGTAACTTGAAACAATTATTATACAGTATATAAATATCAATTCATCCATCCATTTTCTTCCCCTTATGTCCATTTCTGGGTCAGGGGGTGGCAATCAGATGCCAACAAACTCACAGAGCACCAGCCCCTCACTGATCCTCCTGCAGGTGGTGAGTCCACAGGATGACACGGCTGCGCTGTCAGTGACGACACAGCCTTGATATTTCAGCAGGGGCAAAGTGGGGTTAAGTGTCTTGCTCAAGGACACTTCGACAGCAGACATTGGTGGGGAAGGTCTCATGGTTGGCTTGAACCTACATCCTTAGGCCTACCAACTGAGCCACTGTCGCCCAATATATGTTACCATTATTATTATTATTATTATTATTAATATTTATTATTATTACTATAAATTAAAGTAATAATCTGGAACCCTAAATGAATTACACATTTTAAGAATTGTATTAAATTGACCTGCTGGCCTTAAATGTTGATATAAAATAAGTAATTTTATTAATCCTAATATTACGGGTAAGTCCCACCTTCCCTTCTCTTAGCTATAGCTAGAAATCCACGATGCCGTCCATTAACCAATCAAGTGATGCCAAGGGCTGTCAATCATCGTGCTTGTGCTTGTATATAATTCAAATGTTAAATATATACATATATTTGAACGAATATTAGACAGCCCTTAATATTCGAAGCTGTAATGGGCATTATCTTTTTTAAATGATATATATAAAATAGTTAGTTTTGAAATTACATTCAAAACAATGGAGCCTTCTACTGGTGCGGTGAGGAGCTGTATAATGCATTATGATTAAATATTCGAACATTTAAATTAATAATCTCTCTTCTGGCGCGTGCACGGAAAAGTAGGCGTGGCTTCAACACCAATCAGAAAGGAAGGGGGAGGGAGCTTGGGTCGTTTTTTTTCAAATCATCTACCTCTCTCTCTTTTTTCTGACAAACTCCAGACAATCACTTTAAGGGATAAAAAATGCATTATTTTCCCTGTAATTTCTGTACAAATTACTCCAAAAAATTCACAATAAGTTATTGTGAAATATTTACAGTAACCTATTGAACAAACTTTTCCAAACTCTTGGACAGGAGTAAAATACACACACACACACACACACACACACACACACACACACACACACACACACACACACACACACACACACACACACACACACACACACACACACACACGCGCACGCACACATCCGCACCCACCCACACACACACATTCAAAGCACACAATCAAATGTACAATCCTCTGCTTCATCTGTTGAAAAGTATTTTTTAATACAACAATTATTGGAATCAACCCTGAGAGCTGGGACCTTGGGACCTGTCTCATGATATCTATCTATGATGATACAAAAGTGGTGGAGAGGAGGAAATGAACATAGTCCATGTAGGCTGCACCGCCCTGCTTAGACTGATCCCCAATGATAGTTATATTTAACATGCTACATTGGTCAAGGCACTTGCAGGCTGCTGAAGGCCTGGTTAGATTTGTGTCCAAGATGTGATCCATCTGAGTTCACTGTGGTCATTCTGTTGCGGCCTCTCGCCCATGTGTCCAGCTGCATTCTGCTCTCGTCTTCAATCCAAGCACTCTGGATGGCATCTTAAACACAATAAGTAAAACACAAACATTAAGTCCAGTGTATTTTTATACTAAAATCTACTTTAAAGCTAGCTATGGGGTGCCTAATGTCTTGAGACACAAATTAATGGTGTAGATATAATTCAAAGTTATAATCTCACCTACTGTTTGTGTCTGTAACATTTCCATGACTTTTGTTAGCCATTTTCTAACAAACTCTTCTCTTACCAGTTATTGAAACCAAATGTATTACAGACCTAATGTAGAGTACTGCCAGGCCTGTAGAGTCTTGTATCTGTCAATGGCACTGAGAAGTAAAGCATTGTTTAATTTGATACAATTCTCATCACTTAACATGAAAGGATCCGTCTTTCTAGTCTAAGTCATTAATTTGAACCGAATCCCTCAGTCAACTGGGAAGTCTGACGATTAACGGCAAATGTGACAGTCTTCAAAGAAGATTTGGGGAACCCTGTGCTTATGAACACACAAGTTCAATTCCCAGTGCAAAAATCCTGTAATTCTGCAAATGACAAGCTGCTTATTTGCTGCACCAAGCACCTCCAATTGCTGCTCATTAACTCAGTCGGAGGAAAGAACTCCACAACCATGTGCAGAAACTATTAAAATACTTCTAATAACGAGAGAAATATCCTAATTTCAACCCAAAGTGTCTTCATTTGGGCTCAAACGTGAGTTTTTCTGTTGCCATGGTAATATGGCTATAGCGGTGGCCCTCCTCCCAGCTGTTGGTGGATTTTGTGTCAGAGTGTGTTTGGGCGTGCACGGCTGCATTGATGCTGCCTCCATGCTGTGTTCTCCTTTTCAGCCTTCAGAATAGTGTCTCTGCTAATCCGTGAAAGTTGCAGCGCTCTGAACCAGCAGCCAAGCCTTTTCCCACTGAACCTCGGCCCAGGGTCTGCACTGTGCTTTGCTCTTGATTGGTCCCTCCTGTGGCAGGACTCCCCTCCCTGCTGGGCGTGGGCCCGCCCCCTCACTGGGCGGCTCAGCGCTGCCTAATCGCCTTCTCCCTACCGTAATTACACAGACACGTCATTAGAGTGTGGCCAGCCGCTCCTTGCACATGCACAAGGCCTATAAGAGCTAGGCCGAGGCCAGTGCACCTGCTCAGGCCCATGCCTGCAGCTCTGTGCACTTGGCCTTGTCTGCTCAGGACGGCTGTCCCCTGCAGTGGAGCTGATGTGTTTATTTGGGCTGCAAACAGTAGTGAGAAGCTGTGAGAGGTAACTATCTATGTTGAGCTTCACAAACTACCAAAGAATCCTCCCTGCAGAGCAACAGGCCTTTGATATGTGACCACTTCAAACCATAAATACAATGGGAGCAGTCAGTTGTAGAAAAAGCTGTGTGGCCAAGGTGAAGCAAATCTCACACTTACAAATAAACATATTTTTTGGTTTACACTTTGTTTACCTTTCAACTAAAAGTTAGTTTGCGGATCTTCAGAACATGAAGAAGAATATAAAAGGTGGTGACCTGTCCAAACCAGTGCGAACTGAATTGTGCAGGTTGATAAAGCAGCTTTGAATGAGCTGGAAACAAAGTGAAGCCTATGAGGTGTTGACGGACCTGCAGTCGTTAGCTTATTACACTCTTATTAAGAACATTTTTGCTAGGCATGGATTGGCAGGGTCCCGCTAGCCACTCTCTTCACATGGCCCAGGCTCTGTCAAAGCTGATCAAAAGACATTTCTTCACATCTCCAGACGCTGGGGAAAAAAATAGAAAAAAGGGAGAGAATAAAAGCACCAGAAGGGGGCATACTGCTCTCTCTTTACTCTGGTCTTTTGGTGAATGAGGACCTTTTTTTACAATGTCCCCTCATTTTGCCTTATTTTCTATTCTTATATTGAAAACGATGATTGAAAAGAAAGATGGATCGGGAAAAAAATGCCCTTGTGTTTTGACAAATGCTTTCTGCCATATCAGAAACAATTATCCTCAGGTGAAAACTGTCCCTGCAGAAACACTATAATTACCAGGGGTTGAAGAAGGTCTTCACAGATTTGATGGGCTAGCAGTTAGCCAGACCCCCATGAAGTGGTAAAGAAAAGTGTAACTTTAGTCTCAGCTGTACGTCTCAATCCATAATCCTTCCCCCCAAAAACTCCCAGTAGAGCCGCCTACCACTCCCATGGCGTTTGCAGTCCGTACCCAGGCCCGCGCTGATTTATGAGGCCATCCTGTGTCATACCCTCAACCTGAAAAGGGATTTGTGCTCTTGCATTTACTGGGGTGGTCAAATAGCTTTCAGGATACGCAACCAGTCCAGTGAGCTGGCCTCCCAGGCCCATGCAGCCAACTTGGACGTTTGGGGCAGAGTTGTGACTAAAAGACGCTCCTGTGATGGTGCCTGTGGCAGAGACAAGAGGTGAGTGCTTTGTGGGAATGCAGAGTGTAAAGAAGACCTTTTTAGAAACATTCTAAGTTTAATTCAGACCGTTTGTATATAGTTTTAAAATGCTTATTTTGACTGGCTTGGACCAAGCGCTCAGTCTGGAGCTTGTGAATTGTTGTCATTGTTATTGATATTGCTGTCTATCCAGGTATATGGCTGCATTTTTTTAAATGTAATCTTTTAATCTCAAGATGCACTTGATTCTAATTTCAATGTTTTGGACCAGTGGATCTGGTCTGCATATGAAAACTGTTCCCCTTTATATGCGACTTGTGGTGAAGTATGGTTTGCGTACTCACCAGAGGCAGAGCAGGCCTGGTGTCGCGGCTCCTGTAGACAAAGCGAGGTGCAACACATCCTGCTGCTGACTGTCTGAGCTCCATGGCAGCGGGAGGCTTTGAACGCACCTCCAACGTTTAGCATACGTCATGAGGTTGAGACTGAGCATTGGGGGCTAGGCTCTGCAAACAGGAAATGAACGTGCGCAAGGCATGCACAAGTCTATCTGAGCTGTTGTATTCATGGTCTTTTTGTAATCTGGGGTTTTAAGTGAAAGTACGGGATGACACTTGAAAAAGCCATGTAAAAATGCGACAAAAGTAAACTTTTGCATAACCTGGCATGACCTCACAAGATGTTCCTCGTCGATGGAGACAAAATGGCGGCTGTTGCCAAGCTAAAAGTGGAAGAGGAAGACGTATCCAAAGTCGAAAGTAAAACTTAAACATTTCTGAGTAAAATTACGAAAAGTTTCATTGGTGGAACTGTAATGTTAACTTGGATTTGTATAGAATACTTGTACTATTACTAGTTTTCGTAATCATCTCATCGCTCATTTCCGATTCTCAAGATTGACAGAGTCGTAAACAACACACATAAATTAACGCACTGTACTTGCTCAACATTGTAAATATTTTCTTGTAGTGTTGGGAGTTGTGAGATGAGTAAAATGTGACAGCTTCATATGATAATCTGTTTGAGCTTTTGCAGTTGAAAGGCATCATAGTATGACACAAGGATAGGCTTTGCTTTTTTCTGCTTTCTCTTTTCTCCCTGTGCGTTAGGTTAACTTGGGGAAATCATGTGAGCTAGATTTCTTTGTAATGGAGACTTAAAGGAAAGATCGGTAACTTTTTCCCTTCCCAGTATACTTCACCGCCGCACATCTTACATTTTATAGAGGTGAATAAACTTGGGAGATTCTGCTCAAAGTTTTTTTTAAATAATATACGCTTGAAGAAAAGACAAGTTGCCACTTTTACTTAATAAAGTTCCAAGTTTGTTGTTGTGCATTACATAAAGTCGACTCCACTTGAAAGGCGAGGCTGTTTGTAGCTTGATGGGTGTCAAATGTAAAGTACGAGGGACAGTGCTGACGGAGAAGCCTTTTTCTCTACAGAAGAACTGTAAAACAGATGGTGGCCTTTCATTGTGTAATCTTTCACATTTCAATCTCCATCAGATTTGATCAAAAGTCTGCATCTTCTTTATTGCTGCATACTATTAAACGCTGATGAGGCTTGTTCTCGGCACACTGGCTTTAGAAGAATTAAAGAGAGGAAATCTTGTGGCACAGATCACCTTGAGATGAAGTGCTGCTGCAAGTCTCTGTCTTTTGATGAGTCGCACCAAGTTCTGCAAATGTAAAAACTATCGGAGAAGAAAGAGACGTTTAAACAGATGGTGTTTAATTATCTTTCCATTGTCAGGAAAAAAATTATCCTGAAAAAGACGGAAATGTTCATTCTCCTCCATCTACTGATGATCAATACAGTTAAGATTTTATCTTGATTACAAACATGAGGCGAATGTTTGTATTGAATTGAAACAATGACAACACTAGACTTTTGTATTATTACTTTCGTAATAACTGTAATCTTACGTCCTCGTTGTTTCGATAAAGTCATTAAACCATCAGTCAAAAAATGACTTTCATCAAAATGAAATATCACATGTTTATACAATTAATACAAAAACATTGATACTTTTTTTCCGCGCAAATCCTTCGCAAATATGTTATTTACAAATTAGAAACAGTGTTTATATTTTACATTATTATTATAATATACGTTATAAACGAATCCGCATTTGTTGTTAAAAATATAATATGAAATCAATATGACAACGTTTCGTGAGAGAAAAATAAAAATGAGCATATATTTATTATAAAGTATATTTCATGATTAGTTTTGTGGATATGTTTTCTTACCTGGAAAGTGTGCATTTCGTATAATATAAAATGTATATCAAATACATCAATTTACTACAGGTTTTTAGGAATTCTATTTTGATTTTGGATCAATGCGACGCTTTGCAAATACGTTTATATTTCACTTTATGGTATTTCAGAATTATTTTAATTGATCCAATCTGAGACAATAGTATTTTCATTTATTGTTATTTCAATAATTTACCAAAGACGTAAAATCCAACGCTTTGCGTGCTTAATCAAAAACTGGATTAATATGGTATACTTTTTATTTTCATTTAATGAAAAAATATATGTATATCACTTCTTCTCTAGCACACTGCAAAAAATGCTACCTTAAAAAAGAAAAAGGTATTAAGCGCTTGTCGTTATCTTCATTAAAGTAAATTTAAATAGACACAAAATAAAATCATCAGTTTGAAGCACAAAATATCTTGTTTTTCCAAAAAATAAAAAAACGCAATATCATAATAAAATGAGGATAAATTCTGTTGCATTTTAACTACGTCAAATTCTCTTCTTCCATTTTCAGAGTCAAAATAATACTCAACATGTATATATATTTATGCAACATATACCATTATTCCAACACTATATGCTATACACACAAAACAATCTGTAATTTTAAGTAAATTTACCCAAACTAAAATCATTTATATAAGATTTAAACTTTTCAGATTGGTACTTGTGTGTCTTCTGGCATGACTTTGTAGAGGTGTGTGTGATGCTCCGTTGTGTGTCACTCATTGAGACGACATACATGAACCGTGGCCCTTTCGCATGTGAACGACTGACACAAAGTTTGACAAAGTGAGGTTAAGTATTCTCGAGCGCAGGTGGCAGCAACATGACTCTTTCCTACTCAGATATGACGGCGTGTAAGATGCTCGGTGAGAAGAGCTGCTGCTGCCGTGAATTTCAAGTGAGTGGAACCTTTGGAGTTGGTCCAATAACGTGTCTTTAATAAAAAATAGGTCAGGGTTGTGTAAGCATGAAGTTGTGTGCCAGCGTCCTGCGGCTTGTTGACGGTGACATGTCAGAGTGTGTGCGTCTCTATTAGTTTGTGTGCACGTGTGTTCGTGTGTGTGTGTGTGTGTGTGTGTGTGCGTGTGTTTGTGTGTGTGTGTGTCCCACAAAGTGCAGAGCTCAGATATGATAAGAAGCAGCTCGGGACACAGTCACACCAGGATGGAACTTTAAAGAAACAGTGCTGCACTTTTGAGGACAAGCACGAGAGAACATCCTGTACTTTTCACATCGACCATTCTCTGCTCACGCTTCATCTGCACACGTGCAAAATGATGCGCAACGCTCTTCATGTTGATCATTTAGTCATTTCAAATCAATATTTCTGTACCGTTACAATATGCTGCATGTTTTCAGCAGAGTTTTAGCAAGACGATAGGAACAAGACATTCTTTCACATTTTGAGTGACAGCTCCCTCTCTGACTTTGACCAAGTCCTCAATTTTAAACTTTTTTTAAGCGACCGGTTCCTTGTGAATACAATGAATTGAAAACAAAACATAAAGATGTCTTCTGTCAATTGCTTCCAAACACACATATACCAAGTTCTGAGCCATCCCAGATAAAGCCTTTCTACCAAAGGGGAAGGTTTCCTTGCTGAGAGCACCAGGAGGTGCTGTAAAGCAGTTAGGCTTTAACAGCACAACAGCAGCAAAAACAAACATGGCAGCTCAGAGAAAGGGCCACAGTAACAAACAGCAGAACATGTCCTCCTCCTTTTTAACTCCGCTCTGGCCTCACTAAGGAGGAGCCTGCTATGACCTCCGCACCAAAACTCATGTTTGATTCACCTCAGTCGTCTTTTCAGAAAAAGTTCATTATGTGCATTGGATAATGTCTTGAATGCAAAGTTGTATAAAGTTGTGCAAAGTTGGTTCTGTTTGTGGTTCTGGGCTGAGATGATCGTACATTGTAGAGGTGTGGGTGAGGCCAGACTACAATAGAGAAAAGTAGTAAATGGACTGGTGCCAAGAAGCGCTAAACTAAAAGACGACGTGAGGCGACCTGGTCCTCGGCGGTCCGCAGTGAAGTGCTAAAGCCTACCCTGACTTTGTAACGCACAGTCTTGTGAGTCACAACTGTGAAAATAAAATGTTATTAAAATCCAATCTGTCACCAAATGGAGTGAAAAAACATGCTTGCCAAGTGCACAAGCCTAACATTACCACTCCATCCTCATGCTAACACAAGCACACACACCACCCTGTCTCCAAGTCATTACACTTGCTAAATCACCAATTAATCAAACGGGAATTCAGTAGGAGTAGGAGCAGTGAGCAGATTGCAGAGAAAGGTTAGCACACCTTAAGCACTAAGTGACAGAGGAACAATTATATTACATCACTCTTTCAAATAATTAGCTTGAGAGTGTTCACTTCGAGAAGGAAAAATCAAAATTATTTTCTCCACGTGATGGCACACATTAATGAATAAATTCTGGTGTCTGGTGGGTGCGGGCTGCTACTCTTCGCTGTGACCCAGTTTGCCTTTTAAACGTAGCTGCTAATTGTGACAGCTCTATTCACGAGAACTCAACCCAGAGCAAGTCTGCAGAAATATGGATAGTGGCAGACTATGGGAGCACTGGCCCAGTCACTGCTCCGGTGCTGATCCGGCCTCCAATAATACACACTGCCACATGCCCACAACTCATGGACGACATATGGCACCACCGGAGAAAGTTTTGAGGGTAAACTTCTGCAGACTTGTCCACCAGGACTCACACGTGGCTGTCGAGTGTGCGCCATACAAGCAGCAGTTGCACTGTGCAAAAGTCAAACTGTGAACAAAAATACATGTCTATAATAAACACTAATGCAAACGGATGAGAGATGAAAGGGAAATGTGTGTGTTTGGAATTGTATATTGTTGAATTGTAGAGACATTGTCTTGTTGGAAAATCAACAGAACAGTAAACGTTTGATTTGAGGTAAATCCTATGTAAAATGTATATATATATATGTGTGTGTGTGTGTACATATATATATATATATACATATCTTATACATTATAGTTTACTTGAAAAGAGTTTGACAAAATAAATGTAAAAAAACAGCTTAAACTGGTTTGGTCTTTAAAGAAACTATAAGGCTCACACTTCTTTTTAGTATTATAATTTAGTATTATTATCTGAATATAAATCCTATTATTAGGCATTTTGTTTGACCTTTGTCTGTGAAATTCACCACATAAAGAAAAATAACTTATTTACTCATGATTATTATTACTTACAAAAAAATGTAAGCAATAAAATAGTAAAAAATATAAATATATTAAGTGAAGTTTTACTTGTTTTTCATATACCATAATCCACATTTCACCAGCAGTAATTGACTTCTTTTAAAAGTACCGCACTATACGTCTAAAATTTCACTGATCTGCTTTGACTTGCTCCTTATATGAAAGTCAAAAGATCCTGTTCAATTACTTCCTTTCACTTTGTTCAAATCAGCAGGTCTGCAGCATAATGGAACGGACTAACCCCAGTTCATTTTGGATATACTATTCAGGCATTATGAATTTAAACTGCTGAGTGCAGCGTTATCTCCAACCTCGGGCCACTTAAGAGCCAAATCAACATAGCTCATGGGCTTTAGAATAATAATAATAATGAAAAAATCTATATTGCCAGAATGAAGTTCAAAAATGTGGTTCTCTATAAATGTATCTGCTGAATGCACAGTTTGGGGAAGCCTGGTAGGAACGGGTGGAAGACGTGGGAACAAACCTGCTCTTACCCAGACTACAACTAGAATGATTTAGCTTTTTTTGTCTGAAATATACACAGGGTTGAGGAGAATACTTTGAAAATGTCTTTACTTACAGAAAACTATAACATTGTTCAATCAGAGTCTTGTTTTCTGAGTTAGTAATTTTTTATGATATATTTTTGTGCATGAAATTAAAGTGTAAAAAAAATTTGCGATCAAGTGTTTTTGCCCCATTTTTATGCATGATTGTTCATTCGAAAAATATAAAACACACTCGCATACATCATCAAAAGTGAAGTTTGTATTTGTTTTTATTTATCATCCTGTTGAAGGCTGTTATTAGCCTACATGGCTAACTCCGGCACATTTACATGTTAAAAACACATGTTGATGAATGTGCACTGTCCCAATTCAAATAAAGATAAGAAAAAAAAAAAAAAAAAAGGCTCATGATCGAATACCGAAATCTATTCCCATAATTGTTTGAAAAGTGTATTCTGATATTTTTTGATTACAGTCACTCAAAAATAATGTTCTTCATGTATTCCTTTGATACTAAAATACTGCAATATGTGTAAGATAATTTATTTGTTTAATATTTTTGACAGATGTTTAAAGCTGACGCGCCTAACTTTTATAACACAAATAAGGAAATCCATGGAGCTCGATCCTCTATGTTTGTTCATAAAATGTCACTTAAACTATAGCCTCTTCTGTTGGAACAAACGCAATGTATTTATGAATGAAAAAAAAACAGTTTACAGATTTTAAGTAAAATATTATTACTACAAATAATACACCAGTTTAATATTGCCCTGTTTGGACAGTGCACAACGTGGAGGAAGTGTCTTGCCTATGGGCACAGCAGCAGACTGAGGCCTGTCCTGCAGAGTGGCAGGTGCTGCAGGTCCTTCATGCTGGGGCTTGTTCTGCCTGGATACCGGCCTCCACCTCATCACAGGCCAGAGCTGAGCGAGCTACGCCCCCAACCTTCTGCAACACTGCTCACTGCTATGATAGCGCTCATCATTCTAATTTACACCTTCAGACTGTTGCGGCCGAACCATTTCTCCAGATGTTTCTACTGGTTTTAATCTAATCTAAATCAAAGTGGTATGGTATATTTGCAGAAGGCATATTAACGTCTATATGTGTGTTTTTGATTGTGATGGTAAATGTAAGATGTTTCCTCAGACGTATAATAACAACTGCAAGACAACAATATGAGATTCTACATAATAGATATAAATTCAATTAAAGCCAACAGGAGAGCAATGTACAGTCGCTATAAGAGAGTAATGCAGTAAAACGTGACAAGTGGGTGGCTATAATCTGGTGTTTTCATGAGCTTAATGTCTCTAACACCGCCCTTTGGAAAAGCCAAAGCCTAATACTTTTATAATTTAAAGAAATTTACAGCAAGGGTTTTCTTTAAATAATTATTAGGAGTGTATCATTATTTTCAACACATTCACACTTTTTGTTTTTCAAGAAAGAAAGTTGTGTTTTTTGGTGATTTTTGGTGGTGTGTGACTGCCAGCCGGGGAACCCACCGCCGGACAGAAGCGAGCCAGCAGCATACGAGTCTTTTATCTTGGTTCTTTCATCACTTGTCTGTAAATATTGGCTGAAACAATGTTCCTCCCAGGGCTAAAGGTGCAGTCAGAATGCTCATTAGCAGCAGGATGATTCTGTCATGTGCCGGTGATTTGAAATAGATACGGATTCGGGGTTACAGCGATACTGCAATGTGCTTATGTTTAGAATAGTTGTTTGGCGGCCGCAGCCTCACCTCCCTCTGCATGTGTGTCTCAGATCATATTTAGTGGATGTGTCCTGGCGCTGTTTTTGCAAAGCCGTCTCTTTACTCCTGACCTCTCACCCTGCTGCTTCTCTGTGCCTTTGTTGTCAGGTCAGAGTTGGTCTGCGCGCCCACAGAGCCTCCACGCTCGGGTCTGGTTTGGTATGCAGATGCAGAGACACAGGTAAGGCCCAGGTGCACCCCACAGTGATGGTGACCGCTTTAGCTCACCCTGCTGCTCACAGGTCAGCATTGGGGTCACACAAGCCCCCACATCCCAAAGATGAGTCTCCAGACTGGCATGGTGAGAAGTGTTTGATGTGATCCAGTGCAGAGCTATGTTACCTTGTTACTATGTCCTTAATTATCTCCAGCAGCATGGACTTCCTGGTTGACAGGCACAGGCCAGCTCAGTGTGGCTATAATCTCTTACAGGTGACTGTCACTTCTATGACCGTGTCTTCCTTAACTCAGGTGATCGATGCCCAGACGCGTCACTGCTGTTTGCAGAGCTAATTAACTATGAAGTGACTGTTGTCTGAATGAGAGAAATAACTCACAAGGCAGTAATGACCACAGCATGATTCCAAATATGTTATGCAAATATGCCTCCGAGTGCCAATTCCCTGCCCATTATTTGTACGAGTTTTGCATCCATTTCTTCTCGATGCATTGTGATGAAGAGACAAAGTTCTCCTGATGCTACTAAATGTGCCACGCTGCATTCTTTATCTGTACTTGGCCCTTGCAGTTAGACATCCTAACCACTGGAAATGGCCCTCAGAGGACTAACAGCTAGAAATTGATCTCAGAGTAGATGGGCACACTGCGCCTACCATACTGGCCTTTGTCACTCCCAAGCCGCTCGCTGAATCTTTCCTTAAAACTCTGCTAAAGATGAAAACAGGGAGACTTCACAGCTGGCTGCGGCATACTAATACCCTGGACTCATTAGATTAATGGGGGCAGATTTCCTTTTACTGAATGTGAACTGATGGCCTTTGAGTTTGCTTATAGGCTAGAGGCTCTACTGCACTTTGCCAGTCCTGAAAGGCATATTGAATGTATATTAGGTCTTTTGAGACTCCAAACAGGATGCAGCTTAATTCTGACCTTTTTAGATCTAGAGTGATCCCATCAAATAACTGCCCGATCCTCGATATTTAGGTTGGAGATGGAGATGGGAAAGTGCTTAATGTCCATATACTGCATGAGGTCATTCTTGCCTGAAGGGGTAAAAACTTTGAGATGCCGTACTATCTTTGATTCAGAAAGGTGCTTATTGTCAATTTCAAACTGTGCCTAGTTCAGTCATTTCCCCTTCAGGATAGGAGCAGACTCCCTGTTGAAAAATTGAATGTACTCTCCCCACCATGGAGCTGTGTTTTAAAATCAGTCCCTCTTATGGCCATTAGGAATTTCCTTTCACTCATAATTTGAAGGCACCACTGTTCCGCCAGGCCTCAGGAATGCACCCTTTACTCTGAAGCCCTTATCGCCATAGGTAACAAGAGCAAGATTTAAAAGGACAAAGCGGCAAAGCTAAAGATATTGTTCAAATGGCGCCACACTACAATAGCTATATACCTTTAATGAGAGAAATAGAATATTAACATTTGGATTTAGCATATTTGCCCAATAGCAAAACGATGAATTGATAAAGCAGAAAAAAACATGCTGGCTCATTAGCACGACAAAAAGCCTTTGGATTAGTAATATTTCACCTCTATCACAATCTCAGATATTGAGATAAAGAACAGTTATCCTGGTCTTTCATTTTGTACTCAATTTAATGCAGGATTAAACACACTGTATTTTTCTCCCAGTAAGACTGTTTTGATATAATTATAATATTTTGCTCAGTAGTGCCTTGTCATAATGTGCTCTCCAAACAAAACACATCCCAGACACAGATGTGATTACGGTGAATGGGAGCCGTGTGCGCCAGTGGACTTGAATGAAACGCAAATCTGCTTCAGGATTTGACAGTAAGATGCAGGCCTCCATGAACAAACGTCGAAAGCAGGATAGTGCTATTAAAAATGGCTGACTCAGGTACACCCAGGAAAGTAAATATTGCACGTCCCCACTTTCTCACTTCCTATCCCCGGCTATGCCACCTAACAAAAGAGCAGCCATACCTCCATCAGAAATCCATGTCGGGCAATCATTGGGTTTTTGTTGCTTGCTTTTGACAGTAATGATTTCATAAAGCCTTTGATATTAGCCAGGCTTGCAACATGGTAGGGTATCGCTGTTCATTAGCAATTCTATACGCGTGGTTACACTTGTGTAGTGGTTCATACGTACATGCCTTATTCCACTAGAAAGTGTACCGTAATTTATTCGCTTCCCAGTGCTCGTCAGCTTGATGCAACCCGCTCGGTGACAGGGATCCATCTCTGAGCTACATGGCAACAAAGTGGAGGAGGGCTCGAAGGAGGGGAGCTGCATATTTTGCGATCACAACACACCGGGAAGAGGGATGGTTACCAGGCAGGTTTTGGAGAAAAAGTCAGACTCACAATGCACTAGCTGCTCTGAATTCTAAGCGTGTTTTTGGATCTTTAAGAGTTGACTTTAACTCGGCAAACGCACAAGTCAGACGAGGACTTCAAAGTTAGATATCTTGCAGCAAATACCAGTCGTTTAGAAGATTGTATTGTCCAGCATCAAGAAGCTATAGACGTACCGTGGCTGCTCGAGTATGAGAGAAGAGAAAGAATTTGGCATCAGCTAAGGCCGCCCATCCCCATCCAGACAACCCAGAGCTTTTCATTCATCTTCTCTGAGACTTAGTGCATTGGTGTGGTGACTATGTGCTTCACAGGTGGGAGTCTGCCTCTGTCAAATAAACCAGTTCACTAAGGATGGGATTTGCCGCTGTTATTTTTCTATTAGGGAAGAATTATGCTAAGCCTTCGGAGGCCATCTTTGTGTTGCTATGGCAGCCCATATTTCCTACCGGGTTGCGACCTTGAATGACTACAGTGCAAAGCCAAGTAGCCCCCAGAACCCTCCCAGGATTAGAACCGAGATCTCATAGTTATGCTAAACACTGCTGATATGAGTGAAACTTGAATAGATGAATGACAAAGTTTATTGAGATTGCCTCTCTTTCATCTGATTATTGTCATTTGAATATTCCCAATCACTTGGCCCGGCTTCAAACGCAGCTTTTCAACTGGCCATTGTATGGGACACACTGGGCGCTTTCTCTCTTTACATGTCCACCATTAGCCCTGAGAAAACAAGTCCACTCTCTGCATGTTGGGAGGCTCATTCACATTATTAAAACCTTCTGTAATGACTCCATTATGTGTCTCCCTTTAAATAAGTACATATAAAGAGAGATCTACTCATTTAGAATAATATCCTGTAGATTACAGTGTGTTTCAGTGTTGAGAGCGTAGTAAAATCATTGATAAAGATCCTTCAATGACAGAAAGCGAAAATAGGTCAAAAGCAACAGCTGGTCAATACACCTCAATGGCAGGTCGTGAAATCTCTCTTCTCATTTTACCAGCATTGATTCAACAACAGAAAATTATATTTTTTTTGGTCGTCACATGTTTGTCATAATCTTCCCGAGTGTTTTCACGTTTGCCCATCAAAGCCCAGAGTTCTTTTAGAGACACGTATAGACAGCTCCTCAAAGCTGACACCGAGATGAGGCTTTGAAAGTTTGAGATTGACACTATTGTGGTCACAGCGCACAACAGGGGACTGCTTTGAGGAGCAAAGTGCTTTGAGTATTGAATTTCACTTAAAGAGGATACTGGCCAAAGACATGTTCAACTATTTTGGTATACATTAAGGAGAACGTAGGTAACACTCCTTTATCGACCCACTAGAAGTGGAAATGTTGTCTCTTTCAGAATGCTATGTTTTCCTGTTGAAGTAAAAAGTAGCTAAATCTACAATAACATACTTTTGAATAAAGTGCCACTATCAGAGCTATGTTTGTTGTCATTCTGGGAATTGATCAGCCTCAATCCCGTGTTGGATGCTTGTCAAGTGGCAGCTCTCCTGAAGATGACATGTTTTCCTGACAGTGCCTTGTCACTGAAAGAGTGAAAAATCCCAAGTCAGGCTGTGGCACTTTTTTACTCCCTGCCAAAGCCTTATCCATCTATCATCTACTTTTTGACAAAACCCTCACAGCCATCTTTCAATCTAATTTAACTTTGAGCTTGTTCTAAGACAAAGGCTCTGCTAATCTTAATGCGCTTGAACTTGTACCGTCTCTTTAGCACGACAGTCGCATTGTAAGTGCTCTAATGTCACACACAGATTTGGCTTTAAAGGTTCCCTCAACTTGAGCTTTTGGGTTGGACTTTGAAATGCCGGTCCCACAAGATCCTTTTCACCGTGTTATGTTGCTTTTGCTGTTCCCTGTCAGCAAAGTGCACAGGAGTGACATGGGAGCTGCCAGAGCAGCCACTTTATAGAGAGCGACTGCAAATTAAAGATCCAGAACATAACTTTTCCCCAAAATAATGAATAACTATTAACATTTTATGGCATATGTCCTCCACAAACCTGACTTATGCTTGGCGGGAGGAGGGCAACCTGAAATGTCCCATAGGAAGGGGTGGTAGGCACACATGCTTCACAGCAAGAAGGTCCTGGGTTCTTTCTGTTTGCATTTCCGCCCTGTGTCTGCATAGGTTTCCTTCAGGTGCTCTGGTTTCCCCTACGACTACATTTGTGTGTTTGTTAATGTGGGACAAGAATAATAAAATAGCCCATGGCTACAGTTTTACTGTAACTGCAGTCTGTTCATTCAAAATATTAAATATATGAGAAAATAAGATAGAGAAAGTTCCTCTTGCTGTGAACTTTGTATTAGACGCATCAGTTTAAGAGTTGTAAGATCAGAGATATTTTTGTATCTATTTTGCAAAGATAGAAGTTGTCTATCTTTGCACTTGATTAAGAGAGATCCTTTATTTGTCCCACAGTGAGGACATCTCAGATGCCAGTAGCTGTACATTTGAGGGGGGGATTTTTGTCAAGGAGTGAAACCAGTTTGTTTTCTTACTTTAGTGTAATTGTCCTTTGAAAAAAATCGCAAGGCTTTCACGTATTTTTCAAATGACCCATTTCAATAGTTCAGCAGAGAAAGTTCTTATGACGTTACCGCTTTATATTAATATGGAATCATTGGCTTTAAAGAACGCACGAAGTGATTATTATTTTTATTTTTTATCAGAGACGTTTGTTTTACGCCAGTTCCAAACTTTGCTCGAGCAAAAACTTGAGCCTTCCCATTTATTCAATGGACTTTCTTTTCACATACAAAATAAAGAAATTTTATATTACACTTGATATCAAAATATGCAGCAATCTGAGCCCGGACCCTGCCCCCGAACCACAGAGTGAGTAATATAGACAAGAACTCAAATGACCGCGGAATCTAAATGACGACCCTCGCTCCTGACGCAGGGGAAGGAGCTCTGCGCACGGAGGAGAGGGGATTTACAGATAAATGTGTTTCAATATAATTCAAATAAATGTCATTATTTTCCACAAGTATTGA